TCTACTTTTAAATTATGAACTGCTAACTATGCTGTGCTTGAATGAAATGAATAAGAAATTACATGTATCTACAATGTAATATAATGTATTTTCAATTTGGGTATTAATTATTTGGAACTTTTTGCTGTTAAATATCAAGTTCTTTATTGCACAATGGCAATTGGTCTCCTAGTAGAACAAACCAAGCACAAAATACAGGGTGATCCAGAAGTAATGTCAAAGATGTTACCATTTCAATACTACAAGACAAATCTTCGTGAAACTTTGTATAGATATTTCCCAATTATTTTATGGTAATAAAATATTTTTTCTATAAAACTATAACATTTTCATAAATATCAAGCAGCATTAAATTAAAAAAATAAATTGTGCAGAATTCTTGACATTTCTAGGTAAAATCCCATGCTTTGGCACTAATAAAATAACATGTTCTATTCTGTCTTAATAAAACCTGGGTGCATGCTTGTTTGAACTCTAAGTTCTGTGTTTGGTAAATAGTCATACTATTGGTATCATTGGTTACTCAATATCCAAAATCAAACTACATGTAATATCAATATTACTCTTTTGAACCATACCCTTTCTCTTGGGTGTTTAAATAACAAATGTTTCTTTCACACATAATTTTGCAGCATTTCAATACCTGGTTAGCTTCAGTTTTTCATAAGGAAAATTTGAAATTACCCATTTGTGTCTCAGGGAATGATAATAATGTTTACTGAATTCTATGCTGGTATTTTTGGATTTGATGCAGAGTAGAATATGTTCTGATGAAAATGATATGTATGTCATGCATGTTCTATGTCCAAATATCTTAGTACCGCTTGTTGAAAACATGTATCATGAAACTAGCTACTAGTTAGCTACTGATTTTATGTTGGAAAATCCAAAATGGCCGCTTTAACATTTACCTAGAATGGCTCAAAACTAATCAGTTCTAAACTTTCACATCCCTGAAAATTTACATTACATTTATTTTTTTTGAAAAGGGACCCCTGTGTAATCCCAAATAAATGATAAATGGTTATGTTATATAAAAATCTGTTTAGTATTTCATTTTCATTTTTGTTGTTATTGGGAACACATGCATAAGACACATTATAAATGAGCTTATGCACTTAAGGGGAGGCATCAAAAGTTCAATGTCTGATAGGAAACTAAATAAATCTAGTTTTGAGTTGGACCCCCCCCCTCCCCCTCAAAACTAAATACAATGAAAGTTGATTAAGGACTTTTCACATGTTTTAACGACTCAGTTTGGACTTTCATCGGGGTCAACAACAATAGGCATAATATTCCATGTTGCATGCATCTTGGTGAAGAAGGCATCTGGTAAAGTCTTTATTTTTAAACCATTCAAAGGCATTTCGAGCCGAAATTGCAAAAATAGCAAGCTGACAAAGCTTTGACCCCCTCCCCCAAACTAGATTTATTTAGTTTTCTATCAGACATTGATCTTTTGATGCCTCCCCTAAACTAAGAGTGGATGGCATTGCCTTAGATGGAATATGAAAATATGGACACAGTGATCAAAAAGTGTCGAAACTTTGATCACCGCTACTAGCGCTGATCATAACCTCAGTGTTCGAAATGATGCCTCCAGATGCAGTATATCTATCTAATAATAATGTAACCACTAAACATCAATGTAAAAAGCTTGAGTCGTTTATTTGGAGAATGTGAACTGATGTACATCCGTGCGATTATAAAAATCGTATGCTTTTAATGTTCTTTCCAGTTTGCTACATTTTGTTACATTTATAAAATGTAAGATTTGACATTGACATTTGATTTTTTATAGTCATATTTTTTCACATTAGGACCACTTTCTTCATTTATAAATGAATGTAGTTCGAATGCACATACGTGTATTCAAAAACTAGGAACTCTAAATCGCAATCGTATCATTTTAGATTTTTAAAATACTGCCGTAGTTTTGAAATACGACTGTGTAAACACAAATGTTGGACAAAATTTACTCTGAGCATTGTCTGATTTCACTTGAGAAAAGCATTGCCGAATGAGTAATGTTTATGCACCCACTGCTCAGTACACTGAGATCATTAAGAATTAAAAAATAAAAAACCTCCAAATCTTCATTTTAATCTGATCATGAATCTGAAACCTATTCAAAAATCTATTCAAATTCAGTTATTGAATTGTCCATCTGAAGTTTACGCTATACACTGAACGGTTCAGACGTCAAAGGTTGATTTCTGACGGCAAGCACAGTTCATTCCTCAATATTTAGACATGATAAAACATAATTTACAATGAAAGTATGGATGTGAAATCAATTATTGAAATACTTACATTCATACTGATTACTGTCAGGGAACTATTTTCGAAATCCGTCCAGAAACAGTGGTGTAAAATGACATATCCCGCAACCAACCTTAACATGTCTGTTTGACGCAACAACTTTGAAATTGCAATGGTTTCAAGGTTATTTACAGAAAGATGACAGAAAAAGTTGACACCATAGCAACTTAAAATTTAAATAAAAATTCAGTAGAGTCCCCCGAGTATCACCATTGAAATAATCAGAAAATTCTGATAATTTTAAGTATTTCTATTCTGGTCTCCAAGAAAATATGTTTTACAAAAAAATAAAGATCAAGACCACATGGATTTTCTATTTCAAAGCGATTCCCGGGTACTTGATCAAAATTAAGTGACTATTTGATCACTGTGGGAGTAAGAATGGAATGTAAAATACTGAGAAAGGGAGGAGGATCAGTAGAATGTGAAAATGGAATAATAATGATGATGACGGGTAAATAAGATGGAAATAAAAAGGTAGTGAAAGGGAGGGAGCAGGGGACATGCCTAGGTAAGGAGATATGGGAGACTATGTAAATGGCGAGAGGATGGCATGGAGCTGAGGTGTTTATATTTCCATATACAGTGCGTATCAAAAAACGCAACAGATTGTTATCTCGGAAAAGCACAAAACTAGTGATAACAGCATTGATTTCATTCAATGTACCATAAAGCCATGTGTCACCTCTTTCTAATGGTATATCATTCGTTGATATTGGGTTATGGTTGGGCTAGTAATCATTCCTTAAGCAAAGTAGGCCAAAATTACCTTTGGGCCAAGTTATAAACATTGCAAAAGTCGGTGCACGGGGCCCAATGCAATATTGGAAGAAAACCTAAAACCAATGATGAATGCATCCTTTTTCATTCAATGTACTAAAAACCCAAATTACTCCTCTTTACAATGGAATGTCATTCATTCACAGGGAGTCATGGCTGTCCGAATAATCATTATTTTGTAAAGTGGGGCAAAATTCAGAGCTCAGACCCAAGTTTTTAACATTGCAAAAGTCAGTGCATGGGACATAGAGGATATTGGAAGAAGTTATGGGATGTGTGACATAAACTGTAAAGTGTTTATACTCATACCTTTGCAAGAATAATCCTATACCCTCTAAATTTCAACCACTTCTTAGGACACAAAGATGCCCTCATCTCTCCATGCCATTCATGGCTCAGCTCTGAGTCATCCGTGGATTAAGGCGGAGAAAACCAGCCCATTGGCAATTCTTTCTTGAACTTTTGCAATATCTAGTGAAGGAATGGTGAGCACAGATGCTCCTGAGATAGCTCCAAAAGAAAAAGTCACAACAGATAAAGTCAGGAGAAACTCCATTGGCACTTAGTTCTTGCACTGATTTTTGCAATTTCTGAAACTTGGCCCAGAGCCGATATTGACCCACTGTGTGAATGGAAGGATTTCTTACCCAACCATGACAACATGTGAATAAATGACATATCATTGCAAAGAGGAGGGGCGTGGCTTTATAGTAAATTGAATGAAATTGATGTAGTCATCACTAGCTTCGTGATTTTATGAGATAACTGCTTGTTGCGTTTTTTTGATACAGCCTGTATATAGAGGATATCCTATGATTTTTGAGTGATGCCATTTTTATCCATGGGTGGATATTGCCCAACTCAACGAGGGAGCGCTATTTTTGTATGGACTTCATATAATATTACTTAAAAGTTTTTTTTTTATTTTTTTCGTTTTATTTTCTGTGAACCTATTTTTACAAAATGATTGCATGAAAAAATTTAACTCATTTTTCCTAGGCCTTGGAATTATATTGTTGCAGATCAAACAGTCAAGCTAATTTTTTGACGTCATATGAGTCGAATACGATACAATTTTAGTTTAGCATAATACCAAAATTATCTTGTGTTGGAATCTCCATATATATTTAGTATCCATTGGATAAAAAGTAGTTATTAACCAGGGGGATTTGATATGGGAAACATCACAAGGATGATGTAAATTTTTGGAAATAATATTATCTACCCAAATTGCTCTGACAATAGTTTAATAATAATTAGAGGTTATGTCACTATCGTTGCATATATGCCCGAGGGTTTCAGTGATATGGCCTGACCTTGGGACGGACATTGATCACTGAGAACCGAGGGTATATGTGCAACTATATTGACATAAACGATCTATAACATACCTAGGTGATCTTGTCTGGTCAGAGAGTATCGTTTTCTTATCTTATTGACTAGCAATGGTTCGGAAATGATGATTTATTCCCATGTTACGAATGTACGAGTCAATTTGACCTAGGCCTAATGTATGACGTAGTCCCAGCGCTTGACCAATCAGAAAGTTAGCGGGCGCTGGCTTTTCAAAAGTTATATCGGCCCACTCTCTTGTGAACAGTTTACACTTTACTTCGTCATAGATATGTTATAATATGGGATATACATACATGTAGTTGGTGCATCTACTTATATGTACACCACCTCCCCTAAACAAGTACACCAACAAATCAATCAAGATGATCTATTTTGAAGTAATACTGTATAAAACATAACTGACTGACTTTTACACTTCCAAATACTGAGACCATCATTTGAGGAATTTCAAAAATGTTTCACATAGTACTCATTTACCAAACACAGAAAAATAACACATCAGATACAATGAAGTCAAAGAGAGTTATACAAACTGTTCTCACCTTGTTCTGCCATTGCACTGTTATTTCCTCCCATGTATGCCTGGTCAGTTGCTGTTGTCATGTCTTCTTCTATCAAAATTGGGTCCTCAGTCTTGATTATTTTGTTGGCAACTGAAGTTGTATCAAGCTCTGGTGGCTTACGCTTTTTTGCACTACCACTGGGGACACCTACATTAAAGTAACAATAATGTATCTAATATACTGCTTAAGTATCTCGCATATACCAATACTTGTATTTAATTCTACTAAAATACAATTTATTTCTGGGGTGCACAGCAGTACACCATGCTCTGCTCCACGAGGAAATTTATTTCTGAGGTGCGTGCCGGAATGCCTGTGGTATCTGCATGTAAGATTTCTATATACTAGATGTCGCAATGGTACTGAAAACTAATACCGGTAATTCGAGTCAGAATTTACCAATCAATGTATCGTGTTTACAGGGTTTGGCGAGTAGTTTCGAGTCCACGAGTCAATCGTTGCTCCACTACCGTAACCATAAATTACCCTACCGTTACCGAAAGGTTTCTACACAACTCATCCCAAGAGAACTCATTCCACTTGTATAATTGATAAATGATTTTCTCCTCTATATTATACACTATATAATCCCCTTTTCATTTTTACGGTAACAAATTGATATTTGATTAAATATTTAGCTTTTTAATATTGATTTTTAGTATTTTGAAATATCACTTGAAAGTTATGTTTTAGTATTTTTATCAGGGTTATTTTCAATATAAAGGGTGAACCAGGGTATATTTTTACCTTCTGTGAAATAACAAGTGAAACTGAGTGGTCCTTTTGTGTTTTAATCATTCTGCATTGTAATTCTATGTGCTGTGGTGATAAAAAGTCAGCAGAAACACATATCCATGATAATTGAGTGAATTAGATAAAGATTTCGAAAACCAGTCTCCTACTAAGGATAGATATAGAAGTGCGGACTGACGGCATATTAGACCATTCTGGGATCTAAGATTTTTAGTATAGATAAAGTCTTTTGTGATCTTTCGAATGAGGTAACATGCATGGAAGACCCATTTTCGTAATGCCATTAGCTGATGATTTTATGGCCATTTACAAAAATGCTTCAAATGCCAAAACAGGTTACACTCAATGGACATAAAACACTCCAGATGTTTAGTTTTGGGGCTAAAGTCTCGAGGAACAACCCTTGAAACATTGAGACAAGAGATATGAAGGATGATGAGAGCCATTACAAAAGGTGTGTGGTGTGTAGTAGTGTATAGTGAACAACTTCGCCAGATATGTCCAAGAGCCTTCAGATACGACAGCATGTTCTGGAAAATGGCCATGAAATCATGACCATTGGGGTAGACTGATGACACTTTGTAGAATAAAACAACATTGAACAAGATTTAATTTTGCTAAATATGACTTTAAGCCCATGTTGATTGAGTGAATTGTTACCATTTGTCTTGGTTACCTTTTTTGGCTCACCCTGTATCTGAAAATATCATGGAAGATAAAAGTCATAGATATAATTTCCAATGGACAATTTTAATCATCATAAATCTGAAAATTTGATTTTTATTTTAAGATTAACTGTAGTAATTCTTCAAGACATTTGACTATCTACTCTAACAACTGTGTTGTTTAGATAGGAATTAGGTACAGTCTTGAACAAAGTATTTTCAATCAAAGAATGAATTAATCATGGGGAATTATTCTGATAATACCCCAGATCAATGAATAATATAACCACATTGGAGAAAATAAATACAAACATTTGAAAAAAGACATTGCAACAATTCAATTTCTTTATGAGAAGAATTTCTTTTTATAATATGATATGGACATGAACATGCGGCAGCAATGTTAAGCGGACAGAAATAGTTATAAAATATCAGTGAAATGTGTTCTATTTCTGCGATCCGAGTATGACGTGATTATATAGCGACACTTCCCAGGCATCAATTTTAAGGCATCAAGGACGTCATTGATACATAACAATGGCGGCATCCGCAACGATCCAGATATGGGTACTTTGAACTTAAATTATATGTTAGTTCAAACACAATATGTCCAATGCACTCAATATGGTACAACTAAAATGGGACTTCTGCGCATGTTAAAATTTTTCTTCAAAACTCAACTTTTGTTCAAGTTGATACGATTGTCTTTCGAACTAGAGACTTACCTCATTCGAAAGATCATAAAAGACTTTATCTTTACTGAAAATCTTAGATCCCAGCATAGTAGAATACGGATTTGATTTTTTGAAGTGAGTTTCGTAGATCGCCAGATTTCTCCGACTGATATCGGGTTATCTCAAATTGGTTCGATTATAAATACAAATTTCTTTACCCTTGTAAGGCGCATGCGCGAAATTGATTTATATACGTTATTGGTTGATGGTTTTCTCCTGAGCATGCGTGAAGTCTGATGAACACTTATGACGGAGACCGGACCAAACATTACTAGCTCTCGAATAAAATTCCAAGATCCAGATCATTTCGCCGTGTTTGCTAAGCATGTACACGTGAATGACAAACTGTTTTGAGTAGATCAGGCACCTGTTTTAGACACAACATTGATTTAGCTTAACATTGATGTGCACATTGGCACTTTTAAGCATGTTAATACAAGTTTTTACACATTTAGCAGGAGACAGGTTTTCGAAAAATCTGTTATCTAATTCACTCGATTATCGTATGGATATGTATTTCTGCTGACATTTCAACACCACATCACATAGAATTACGATGCAGAATGATAATAAAACACAAAACAACTACTAAATTCCACTTGTTATTTCACAGGAGGTAAAAATGCACAATGCCTAGATTCTTTGTAAGGGTCGTCAGACATCGGATTGGCCGCCATATTTGAAATGAAAATATCACTAAATAGAGCTTTGCGCATGTCAGAACATTTCGACTGAATGAGTGAGCTGAAGTGATAGATGATGGTTATAAGTATAGTCAGCGTGTAAATTAGAACATGAAACTTCTCATTCCCTTTAATACTACAAGTTTCAGGACCACGTCATACTCGTACGAATGGCAAGTTTTTTTTAATTTATAGGTGATAAGTTGAATAAAAATTGTAAAATTACGACCATACGACTGGGGATTTGCAACTCTGATTCACAGACCAAATATAAAAAATCGCTCCATAGTATTCACATACCAAATATGAACAAATCGCTCCACAACTTTTTAAGTTATAGTAAAAAATGCTAAAATGGCGGCCATTTTTAGAAATGGCCGCATTCTACCAAAAGTTTCAGTAAACAGTGTGCAATGCTAATAGTATTCACCTATTGTACCTAAATTACTGTAAAATCGGGACTAAAGTGGCCTCCATTTTTAAATGAGCAGCCATTTCGAAAATCAGCTTTCAAGCAGACTTTCAAACCCCATAGGGTATATGTGTACAAAATCTTAACTAAATTGGGCCAACGGTATTTGAGTTATTGCCCGGACGGACAGATGGAAGGATGCACAGATTGATGGAGGGAGGTGTTCCCTATATCCCTCAGAACTTTGTTCGATGGGATAATCAAAGCATTAACATGACAAAATGTCACCACCTAGTAGCTCACGATATTATGAAGCGTTTTTTCACCTTGAAAAGGTCATTGAAGGTGAAATCTCAAATCTTAAGTCAGATTTGAACTTCTGAGAACTTGTACATGATTACGAAAAAAGAATTTGGTCAATTTGAAGCAAGTTGAGAATATACCTTTTTGACTCTTATTTTTACCTTTAGAAAGTAATTGAAGGTCAAATCTTAAATCTAGTCAGATTTGGACTTCAGAAAACTTGTAGATGATTTTGAAAAAATGAAGTCTATCTTTAACAGTACTTGTTAAGGTATTGAAAGTTGTAAGAATTTGTTACAGATGCCAAAAGCCACCCACCGATCACCAACCGCTGTCACAAAAATGGAGACCATTACAATGTGTCATCACTTTTTGGTGGTGACATAATAAAGGAAATGACTAGCCCCAATATTCGTGTTGAGAAATTGTACTCACCGTATACTATTGCTCCATCTCCAGTGTTACTGTCACCAGAGCCTACAGAACCAGATGGTGTCTGACTGTCCAGATATGTTGGCTCAGATTTTATGTTCATACCAGTCTGTGGCATGCTATCAGGCACTGCATATTGTTCTAGTTGAGGTTGGTTGTCTAAACGACGTTTGGAATGTGGAGGATCATGTCTCGGTGATGGTTGCTGGGGGCTCCCTCTAATTTGTGATGATCGATTACGGGACCTTTGGGACTGAGTATGTGTAGCCTGTGGGCTTCCTGTGTATACATCAGACCCAGTGATATCTGCCCATTGTGCTTGAACTGGCTCTTCTGGCTTCATGATGGTACGATGCATCTTGATGACAATCTCCGGAACCATCTTTCCAGGACTGACACATATGATGCCATCTATTTCCAGCTGGGTGTCGAAGGTGATGTGTTGAGTGCAGAGTTTTAGGACGGCATCTTGTACAACCTGTGTTAACAGAGCCTTGTTGTTTGATCCCATTGTTAAATGACTATAAAATACAAAGATACAATGGTTGGAAATGGAGAGAGAAAATCCAGGTGTCATTTATTTATAGTAAGCACTTTATGAAAATTCCAATGTGCACTCTGGCCCCTGGGCTCTGGCCTAAAATCGTCAGAGAGCATGGTCCTCACTAGGCTTTTAGACCCCAGAGATTCTCCGGAGTCTAATGTCTTTAGACCCTACTGCTCCAGAGTCTAACAGCTTTTCCAGAGTCTAAAGTGTTTTTCTGGAGTTTTTCTGTAACATTATTTGTGGTAACTCTTGAGAAAATACATAAACTAGATACAAACAAGGAACAGGAAGTCAGAAACTTTTTAGAAATGTATATTATGAATATTATTATTTAAATAGGAAGATAATCTTCATAGTAGTATTTTGAAAAGTATACTAATAGGAAGGATATTTCTGATTTCACATGGGGGAACTAGGAGTAGTCGATATACCGCAAAAAATCTGGGGTTTGTACAAAATACCGGGTACTCGGTAGTAAATCATCCATGCTGGGTTCCACCTGGGTACCCGGTTCTCTGTGAAAAAAAAGGGTACCTCAAAAAACGAAAAATACCTTACGAATATATAACATATTTAGTTAAACATCATTAGAAAGCCTCTGTCGTTTTCACCCAAATTTTTGACATGAATATAACGAGTAATATTTGAATAAAAACATGTCAAATCAATCTTAATCTGATGTTGTTGTTTTTTTAAACAACAAACGCTCTTTTAACTACCTTTATGTGTACACATGTTATTGTTTATAACACAGCATGTAGTGTTGAAACAAACAAATGTATTCAAATACGACTTTTAAGTTTTCTTCACGTTTGTTTTATAATTGCATATTACACTTGAATAAAATAAAAACAAAACACAATTAGAAATAACTTATACCAGTAGATTTTATTCTTCATTTGTTCCATTAATTCATCCACATTACTCAGGAAAATAAACAGTTTTAAATTCGCGATCTACATTCAGGCAAATAAAGGCGAAATCACTATGCTTGCGAATTTAGCATATTTTACAATATTTAGCAGACCCAAAGACTTTTGGTCGGTTCTCAGTTAGATCCTATTAGGAGTGGCTTCAGTGTCAACATTTGATTCTCTAGCGTTTCCAACTAGGAGGAGCAAAAATGCCGACATTTTATTTGTCAGTCCAGCTTGTAAACACAGCAAAGTCTCCTGACCGACAATTGTCAGTACTCTAGCCTTTACGAATAGTATAGAATCAAAACGCTTATTCTGGTCATCAGTTCATATGGTTAAAATAACGAAATAATGAAATGTTACCGTGTGTCTACTTACCAGTTTGTCCTATGTCATCCATCCTACTAGGTTACATTGTGGAACTCAGCCAAACACGACACTGAAGGCAGTATTCTGAGGTTATTAATTCTAAATCTAAAAAATTTCCCATTTGCAGCCCCTTGGAGATTTCCGGAATTGAACAAAGTAGCGAACGTTGCGATCTTTCAACTTTAGTTTGTTGTTTTTTCACCACTTTATGTGTGGTGTTTTCTTTCAGTCTTATTTGAATGCATCATTTCAGGTCTTTATGAATCAATAGATCAATACGCAGACTAAAATTACAATTTAGCAGTTTCATTGAAAAAACTGATTTGGAATACCCGGTGACTTTAGCAGCCCTCCCTACAATGTTTGACATTGCTATCTCGGCGTGCCCTCTTCTATAATCAGTAGCAAATGCTCGCAAAACATTTTCCAAAATATTTACTACCGCTTTCCTTGAAGACATGGTTGGGTGACACGTCATTATCGATACAGTAACTAGTCACGTGATCAGACACGTGTCACATGATCAGACACGTGTTACGCGATCAGTCACGTGAGCTTGCAAAATGGACGATCTAAATTTCCACAAAAATTCTGCTAAGATCAATATCGACATGTTGTTGCCTTCGTTGTCATGTTTGGCTGCGGTCTAGACTATATCCTCTAGTCTGAAATTTTTTTGAAATTTGGAATGAAAATATTCAGACTATAGCTCACATATGTTAAAATTTGGGATTGAAAAATATTTGTTTACATAGGAAGTGCCATTCAAAATGGCCGACTGGGTAAATTAATTTGCATATTGTTCCCCTAGCTTTATTTCCATTTGACAATATGCTGTGTTACTTTTCATAGCATTTAATTGTACCTTACTACTTAATTGAATTGTTATAGTCTAGACTAATGCTGACTAATGCTTATTTTTGGGAATGGATTAGTTTCCTAAAATTGATAACTTTGTGCCTGAAATTTCCTGTTTTTTTCCCACAGGAGGGACATAATGATCAATAGACTGCATTCTCAGGAAATTCAGTCTATTGGATATAGTCATATAAATCTGACCCTCGTATGATGTTATTTGTTGTTATTTTTTCTGATTTGGATATTTATTTTTTCTTATTTTCTTGCATACGAGGACCGTGTATAGAAAATGATAAAAAATAAATATCCAAATAAGAACAAGGAATATCGAAGAACAGCATACAACGGTCGGATTTATATGACTAATTGGATATAGACTAGGCTGCGGTCCACAATGTAACCTAGTCCAACAACATTAGAACTAGCCTGGGCCTAGTTTCTTATCTAACATGTCTTATGGCCCAGGCTAGGTCTAACCTCCATGATCATTTTGCCCTTGATGCGTTAATTTAATCGTTCCGCAGGTTTCGACAAGCGGAACTAATTTAACCCTGAAACCATGGTAATATTACAGAAAGAATGTGATTCAAGCATGCATACATACCTTATGAATACATATACACCATCCCGTATCCACCTTAGACCCAATTGATGCATAATTACGAAAATATTGGAGACAGGTTTGGAATATAACGAAGATACCTGTTATCCTTTTAAAATTTATCTTTTAATGCGAGTAATCGCGATAATAATTAGTAGTTTAATTTTACGATCCGAGACACTCGGACGAACAGACACAATGACGGACATACGGAAATGTCATTTTAGAGATCGGTAAGTGTAGCCTCATTTTACGAGTATAAATGAACATTTAACACAATAATATTGTGTTATATCGCTTGATGTTATGTGTTTTTATATTATTGTCAAGTATCAATTGCATGTTATCGCGGCAAAATGGTTTCGATGGATCCAGAACTTGCATCAAAGGAAAGAATAGTAAAGAGGTTAAACTCAATAACGGCCCCAAGAAAATTCCTAATAGTAAAGAACGCCATTATTGAGTTTAACGACGTTGAACTAAATGTAACCTAGCAGGAGGGATGACATAGAACGAACTGCTCAGTAGACACACAGTAACATTTCGCAATCAGGGCCAGTAAGGGCCGTTTAGAAAGGGGACCACAATCCCTGGGGGACTTACTCTACAGAGCTGACAGAAGTCAGCTCTGGGAAGTTGGATTGAAAATTCTTGAAGAGGAAAAATCGAGCCCATTTTGAATAAACGCTGTGCTGAGTAGCGTTTATAACACACTATATATTTGAATCAATACATAATTTATTTGTTGTTACCTTATTTTGATCCTTCAACAGTCTGTTGTTGTATTAAATCAATGTTCTATCAGTTAACAAAACTTTTGAATTTGGATTGCAGCCATTTTAGGTCTCGCGAGATCTCTTGACTTTCGAAAGTTAAGATTTGCTACAAAATAACTCGCGTTAGCTAAATATGTATAGTCACGTGATCCTTTAGCGGCGATGCCCATGCGCCTGTAAAGTATAATGCGCATGTGCCCGCATGCGCAAAAATTAAAAAATGGTGCGCGCCAGATCTGGAATTTCTCTATTTAATTGCAAATTACACAACAAGTAGGACTTATTGTCACCACGCATCAAGAAAAGGGCAAGTTAAATTCAATTATCTTCTTAATACCGTTAACTTATTCCAGCGCGCCTGCTGGAAGTTGGAGTAAAACACTTCACAAGACAGTATATTTGAACGGTCTGTCAGCTGGCTTTTGAGCCAGCTGTGTTCAGTAATGGGGGACCATCATTTCTTTCACAACTGTATTCCCTACAAACCCAAAAATCCGGGGTCTAAAAATTTCCTGGTGAGAACCCTGAAGAGATAGATCGAGTGAATGTACGCAGGAAATGAATTTTGAGAATGGATAATCGTAAAGAAAGAAGAAAATACCAGTCAATTCTGTTGTAAATTGCATACTTACTGAGTATAGATGATAACGCTCAGCAATAATGCCTTGATTGTCTTCACACGTGGCGGTTCAATTCAATTATGATAACACACCACAATTATGACCTTTTCAATGTCTATGTCAAAAATATTATCAACAGAAAATGTGTACGTCTGATTCTATGATTGTGTAATTGTTAAGCCTATTTTGATTTAATCATATCATGATATAGATTATAGGACTTTTATATTGATGAAAATGTTCATCGAAAATACTTAAATAAACTGTTGTGTTAGCCTCCATGACACGCCACAACTTAGATCAGGAACAACAAAGCAAAGCAGCTCTTTACATGTTTTAGCCTCTATACTCGGTAAGATCTTTTGCAAAATTTGCAAGGATCCGTGTAAGCTGCAACCATAGTCCTGAGGTCAATGCAACCAACTTCTATTGTTGCTAATAATAATTAGCTACATTGTGACCAATTTTAACAAATAAGAGCCCAAAGTGCACTCTATATAGATCTGGCTATCATTGGTTGCAGATTGCACACATAGGCCAAGGGAAAAGTAATAGTAAGCCGTATATAGACTATTACTTTACCCTTGGCCTATGATTGCACACTTCAAATCTGCAATTATCTGATTCTCCATAGGCCTCTCATGCTTATTGCAAGACTTATGCCTGTCACAACCGTCGCCATGCTATTAGTGTTACTAAGTTTCGCAAGGATCCTGCCATGACATATTGTTATTGTGAAAGTCTGGTATAACCGTGACAATGCTATATTGCATGACCCTGCCCTGTCAACCCTCACGCATTAGGCATGATTGTCACGCATTTGCTGGAAAAATAGAAATCACGCATCAATTTAGCGTGTATGATCAAATATCATGTTTGTGAAATGCCGATACGGTAAAAACCGAACGGCGAAAAAAAACGAATGCATTCCGTTCGGTCTTTGCACGCAATTGCCGTTTATGTCACGCATTTGGTACAAAATATGTGTATATATCACGCTTTTGTTTCAAAAATAATTTTTCATTACAGTATTCTCATGCTACTAAATGTCACTTAATATATAACCATTGTCATGGTCATATTGTGCTTTAACATTGCCACAGTCATGACAGGCCTTGCAATATAGTATAGCAGGATCCCTGCGAAACTTAAAAACACTCAATAACATGGTGACGGTTGTGCCACGCATAAGTTTTGCGACAGATAGGGTCTCATAGCTCCTTCAGCGTTTCTTCGAATTTTTTTGGCTATAATCTAGTATGAAGATGTGAAACAGAATGTACTAAAAACCCTTCGACCTACGACCCTACGACTATTTTTGGAATATATACATGATTACGAATAGTTCATGCTTGAGTACGCCGTAGGATTTTAATCTACATAATTGGAAAATGAGACTCTTTCAATTAAAACATAGTTGGTACCCAGTACCAGTACCATCCTTTCTTAAATGCTTCAGAACTAACTTTGCAATGTAACATGGAAATTGCGTATTCTTTTCATAATGATAAAGGATTCGTATCGATATGGTGAACTTTTTGAACACACGTTTCTCTAAAAATTCTAAAAATTTTACACATCGTCAATTTAATGGTCATGTTTTGAATGGTAACAGTATAATTTGAAAAAATATATGTACTTTTCTCTATATTGTTTTAGAAAACACATCAGACACTTCTTTTTTTGTTCTTGGTATCATATATGTTCGGAATGAAATGAAACATCTTTCCGAACTTCATTGGAACAAAACAACATAAACACAAGTTTAGGTCTCCCAATATTGTAATTGTACAAAAGGAAATTTTGGTTGATTTAAATCAACCAACTAAAACTTTCCTTTGTAGGCTATAACTATAATATTGAGAGGTCTATGTTGTATATGCTATTTTGTTCCAACAAGGTTCGGAGAGACATTTTATTTCATTCTCAAGAATTGGTAGAAAGGAACATAAAACAATTGCACTAAGGAACATTAGTGCAAAATGTTAACAAAAATAGTGATATAATATCAGGCCTGTCAACTGTCCCGCAATTTGCGTATTTGTCACGCATTTGCTGAAGAATTTGAAGTCATCGACGTGGGGGGGGGTAGGTACGAAAAATTTCGAACGGAATGCGTGACATATACGTCACCAACTACAACTGTTGTTGGGCGATAATTCAAAAATGGCCTAAAATGTCTAACATTTTGAATTGGCTTATAAGGCCAACAAAGGCAAGAACTGTTGACGACAATGATATCCTACAAATTTAAGTTGAAAAAGCTATTCAAAAATCAAAAAAATGCCCTAAACGTGGGAAATACAAACATGATTCGGATTCTGAACGGCCTAAAATTACCGGTGAAATGTCATCAACTCAAATGCGCGAAATTAAATAGCCGCGAAATTGCAATTTTAAAAAATAGCGAAATTTTATAGCGTCGAAATTTACCCGGAGTACAGTAAGTCAATCCGCGGCTTACTTTTGGTCTCTAACTGTGTCTTACATCAGTATCATCAATCCGTGTAAGTATTAGAGCACTGAAGTACTTCCTTTTCGATCAAGACTTGTATTTGTTAGTCGAGTGAATGTTTTTACTGCCAAATTCCAATATGGCGTTTTCTGCTCGGACATTTTCGTAAATCTCCGGAGGTTGTCCGAACCTAACTAATTCTCAAAATTCATTTCATATTGGAAATAGGTCTAATTTCCATATTGGAAATAGGTCTAAAAAACATTCACTCGATGAACAATTTACAAGTCTTGATCGAAAAAGAAGTATTTCAGCGCTCTAATACTTACACGGATTGATGATACTGATGTAAGACACAGTTAGAGACCAAAAGTAAGCCGCGGATCGACTTAATTAGATTTCAAAGGTCACAATCATTCAGCTGTCCAAATGCTCTGTGGGAAAGCTATTATATCAAAATCCAAATAGCTTTCGCAGGAAGTAACATGTATATAAATAATTTTCGCATTAAATTGATGTCAATCAGTCAACATTACATAAAATACTGTGTTTTTTACAGAATGTGTTCAATAATTGGTTTAGAGAAAAAGATTGTTGAATTCAGTTCACCATGTTGATACCTATCCTTTGTAAATTATGGTTTATTTAGCTGTTACCAGTGATTGACGATACAATCGATTCTCTAAATAATATAAGAAAGTGAACACTTAAATCGTTCATAGTTTTCATGTATCAAAACATCGATGGCAGAATTTAAAAGATTGTTTTTGAAGTTCATTCTGATTTTATTGCATCCCACGTATTTATATATATCCATACTTGATGAAGTATTATACAGCATTTGATGCAAATATGTTGGATTGATTGAAAGCATAATATATTCAACACCAGAAAGAAGAATATTCGGTGTTGTAGTGACAGTTCCGGGTATGATCAGATGAGTCCCCTAAGAAAAATCTTTTCAACTTAGGACTCCGAGACTCCGATTGATCAAACTTCAATTTTGCATCAACTATACATGTTCCTGGGCCCATGATTCCACTGTCAAAATATTTTTCTGTACTCATATATATTGTTGAATCGATTTGGATTCATCAGACAGGCTCGTAGCTATAGGGCCAAGGGGGCTCATTTTTTTGAAAAATTCCAAGGAGTTAATTTTTTACACCTTTGGCCACAAAAAGGGCCCCAAACTTGAAAAATGCTCACAGTAAAAAACTGCATGATTTTGACAGATTTTTTTACTGGAGGGGGGGTGGTACATGCATTTCATAACCTAGTCTTCTTCTTCAGCTCATATATTCCAACAGCTATCCTTATTAGTGAAATGAGCGGCATAAATCCGTGAGATTTAAATAATGCGTAGGAAGTGAACAGGGAAAATTTTCAAGATTTTAATACTGCAAGAGAAGTGAGCGAAAAATATTTGCACAAAAAAATTTGCACCCACCTGAGAAAAATTCCTAGGGAGATTGATACCAAGTTGCTACTATGGCCCAGCTATAGTGGCTTAAGCCTTTATAGCTCAGTCGGTAGGGCATCAGGCTTTGGATCCGAGGGTCCTAGGTTTGATTCCCACATGGGGTATTGAATTTAGCACACTTTCTTTTCTTTTCACACAATTCTTTTGTCTGGCTTGTTACTCTATGCTCGTCAGTTAGTCATTCTCCTGGGGTGCCCTCTGGTACTCTCAGAGTATCCTTGTGCTTGTTATTACAACTTACAGGGTGGGCCAATAAAAATTTTAACATTTTCCAATTTATTCGATTGTCTTTATTTTTGCAGTTTAATCCACAAAAAATCAGATAATGGTAAAATTGATTATTTGTCAAAAAGTTAAAGTTAAAAATATGTATGTATGATTATTTTTGGCTTTTCATGGTCATGATCTGTATTTTGTGTGTGTCATGAAAAATTTCCAAACTTTCTCTGCTTGAGACATCACTGCTGAAAATACAGTATCTTTCATACCATGCAATATGTACCCTCAGATGGTCTCAACACAATTTCCATCAATTAAAACATATACCAATTTTTCACTCCATGCAAGGGTTTCCTGAACATGTCTCCCTTCTGACGCCAGTGCATACAATCAATTTATTAGTTGTAATAACAAGCACTGGGATATACTGATAGTCTCATGAATACATCTATCCAGATAACAGCCAAGCAAGACAAGGGGCAAATTGGGGAATTAAAAGGTTCTTTCAGTTTTTTTTATCACAATTCACATCTTAACATTAGAGTTTAGCCGGAAATTTTCAGAAAAATCCTGATGTTGGTTCTCTAATATTTACCAAAGCATAGAAAACATTTGCAATACATATACAGTGATCTCCCTTGGACTTTTCTCAGGTGGGTGCAATTTTTTTGGTGTAAAATATTTGCTGCTCGTTTCAGTATTAAAATCTTTAAATATATTTGCCGCTTGTAGTACTTAAAGCTTCAAAATGTTCACTGCTCACAACACTTGCATTATTATTCCACCGAACGAAGTTTGAGGGAGATATAGAAAAGCCGTCCATCCATTCGTCCGTCTGTCCATTCATCCATTTGTGTGTAATCATTGATAACTCAAATACCAGTGGATGGATTTGGTTCCAATTTTATATGCTAATGTTTAGGGAAAAAGGAGATCTGCTTCAGAAGAAATTTCAAAGGCGTCAGTTGAATTTCAAAATGGCTGCCATTTTTCATAAAAAATTTAATCCTTAATAACTCAAATACCATTGAACAGATTTACTTCAAAATTTATATACTGTTGCCTAGGAATAAGGAGCTCTGCTTGAGAAGAAATTTTCAAGGTGGCTGCTATTTATCGAAATCTCCACCATTTTTCATTAAACATGTAATCCTTGATAACTCGAGTATTTGGATTAAATTATATATGTTGATGCCTTGGGACATAGAAGCTCTGCTAAAGAAGAAATCTAAAGATGATAGCTGAATTTCAAAATGGCAACCATATTTTATAAAGACATAATCTTAATTCAAATACCAGCATGAAATTTTATATGGCCGCTATTTATCAAAATATGTTTTGTTCTGTGGGATTTGCTACTCTGTGGAGTTGCTGTTTTTCTCGTTAAAGTCTTTAAATTATTTACCACTTGCTTTGCTGGTGCTCCTCTTTCCTTCAGAATGTTCTCCCAATGTACTAGCTTGCGTGTCCAGCCATCTATTTATCCAACTTAGTCAATTATACTGGTATACATTGATAACTATGAATAGATAGGGCTGGGGTAATAATAAAGATTGCTGTTAACACAATAAAAGGCCTTTCAATTAACCTGGGAATGGGAACCTAAAATGAGTGACTTACAATTGTTGAACGCCTTCCTTCAAATTGTGAAAACTTTGGTCCAAATCTGAACACCTTGGTCCAAATTTTGAACACCTAATGGTTCAAATTTTATTACATATATTCAAATTTTGGACACCTCAAATTTTTCGCGCTTGCTTTGCTTGCATTCACGAACTCCGTCAAGGGGAACAACAATTATATTGGGTCCATCACGGAACTAAGGTTTGTCTTTTTGAAGATAACAGATCGAGTTATACAAGTATTATTCTGTCAGGCCAAAATTGGCAACATGTTTTGATTTTGCATGTTACATACATAGAAAATCCTCCTCTTCTTTATGGAAAAAGATAAGGTTGAAATACTTGTAATCATACCTATACTTTGTGTTTCAGGGGAAGGTTTAATATTTACCAATAGAATGGCTCAAATGAAAGCAAACAGTAAGACCTTGCTGACTCAGCTTGTACAAGATGCCGTTCTGAAACTCTGCACTCAACACATCACCTTCGACACCCAGCTGGAAATAGATGGCATCATATGTGTCAGTCCTGGAGAGATGGTCCCGGAGATTGTCATCAAGATGCATCGTACCATCATGAAGCCAGAAGAGCCAGTTCAAGCACAATGGGCAGATATCACTGGGTCTGATGTATACACAGGAAGCCCACAGGCTACACATACTCAGTCCCAGAGGTCCCGTAATCGATCATCACAGATTAGAGGGAGCCCCCAGCAACCATCACCGAGACATGATCCTCCACATTCCAAACGTCGTTTAGACAACCAACCTCAACTAGAACAATATGCAATACCTGATAGCATGCCACAGACCAGCATCAATATTAAACCAGAGCCTCCTTATTTGGACAGCCAGACACTGTCTGGTTCTGTAGGCTCTGGGGATAGTAACACTGGTTATGGCTTTGAACCTGAAAGTTCATATGGTAAGGCTCTTATTTATGATAATTGATTCCATAAAAACATGTTTTCTGTGAAATAAAGAATTCAGGGAATAGAATTTATATTCAGAAAATCCTCTATCAGATCCTGTATCAGTCAAATCATGTATCGGATCATGTATTGGAATCTGGTATAAGTCAAAATCCTTTATCAGATCACGTATCAGAAGATATTATGGAATAAATAGGTTATTGATTATCATGGTGGAATATGAATTTTTCCTTGAGAAAACATGATATTGGCCTTTGAAAATATCATTTTGACACTGGCTATCACCCTCAATCAATATGATATTTCCCCAGCCAATATCATATTTTCCCTCAGAATTAAATTTAAATTCCATATGTCATATTGAGTGAATGTGATCTCAATATGATTTTACCCTGGTGCAATACAATTTTTCGAGTATATGTAATGATTTTGAGTTTTATCTGACGTACTCTGCATTTAGCTAAATATGCTAAAAATTTAGCTAAATTTTTTTCAAAACTATTGACATTTTCCATGATATTCAATAATGGTTAACACTTTTAGTAATCAGAACAGCAGAAATTTATGTTATGCAATTGTGTGTCCAATGTGGGCTATTACAAAAGTAGTGCCCTAAATAGCCCTTTATATCATATATAGCTATATTTATTTATTTATCTTAAATAGGTGTCCCCAGTGGTAGTGCAAAAAAACGTAAGCCACCAGAGCTTGATACAACTTCAGTTGCCAACAAAATAATCAAAACTGAGGAGCCCATTTTAATAGAAGAAGACATGACAACGCCAACTGACCAGACATACATGGGGGAAGATAATGGTGCAATTGTGCAACAAGGTGAGATATCTTTATTATTATAAGTTTCTATTGGCAAGCCATACTTTTACAATCTTTAATTGGAAATACATACAAACAAACCGCGAAATGATCAGGGTTCCATTTCTCAAATAGGTCTGGACTGTGGGTATCAATTTTGCTAATGATGTTTTGTGCTATATTATGATCAGTTTGTTAAGCAGATCTCTTAAGTTCTTCCATATTCAATAAATTGATTGGAAACTTTCAGGTATGCTAATCTTTAACTGGTTTTTGGATGTGCTTGACAAGTATTATTTTGCCATTTTAGATTTTTTCTTCATGTAATTTACAATGCCTTGTATTGTATCACATTTTTAGCAAAACCATAAAATGGATTGATATGAAATATTCAGAATTGCTTTTTTTTAGTATGAACGTTGTATTCAGTTCTAGATGTTTTGTTGTTCGAGTGGCAATATACAATGTACATCACATTGTTTCCTGTTTATTCTTCTTCATTTTCACAAGTTTCAATCACAGGCTGATATCGAAAGATTTTTCCGCTGTGTAGAGCATGTTATTTTTCATAAAAACACTATGAATACTTCAAAATTTATTTACAGCAAAAATTAACACTCCATTTAGTTCTTGTGTCAACTTATTTAGTATGGCTTGCCACTAGTTAAATGAGAAACAAGAGACATGACTTTGTGAAGTCATGTACAGTAAAACTTGTCTGTCCAAACACCTCTGTAATTTTAGAGACATTTAGACGAGACAGGTTTACTATATTGAATTCATTATTCAGGTTTATCTCCCTTTTCATATCCAAAAAATCAGGTAAATTAAAATTTTATTTATCTGTACAGGGCGTCCACAAAAAGTATACCCAACTTCAAAGGCGAATTACTAGAATCTTAAGCAGTTTTTATGTCCCCACGACATAGTGTGGGACCATATTGTCGGCCTAGGCGTGTCCGACTGTCTGTCCGTCCGTCCAGAATCCTAAGCAGTTTTTATGTCCCCACCACATAGTGTGGGGCCATATTGTCGGCCAATTTCAAATTTTCAGGGATGATTCTTAGTAGGAAAATCTAGAACTGATTAGTTTTTTTGGCATTCTGGGTAAATGTCAAGGCAGCCATTTTGGATTTTCCGTCCTAAAATCTTGTCTGTAAAGTCTTGTCTATGCATTTCCAGGTGAACCGTTCTGTAGATCAATTTCAAATTTTCAGGGATGATTCTTAGTATGAAAATCTAGATCTGATTAGTTTTTTGGCATTCTGGATAAATGTCAAGGTAGCCATTTTGGATTTTCCGTTTTGAAATCTTGCCTGTAAAGTCTTGTCTACGCATTTTTAGGTGAACCGTTTGGTAGATCTATTTCAAAATTTGAGGGATGATTCTTAGTATGAAAATCTACATCTGATTAGTTTTTTTACATTCTGCATAAATTGTTAAGGCAGCCATTTTGGATTTTCTGTCCTAAAATCTTGTCTGTTAAATCATGTCTACCCGTTTTCAGGTGAAACGTTTGGTAGCTTAATTTCAAATTTTCAGGGATGATTCTTAGTATGAAAATCTACAAACAGATTAGTTTTTTGACATTCTGGGTAAATGTCAACGCAGCCATTTTGGATTTTCCATCCCGAAATCTTGTCTGTAATATCTTGTTTACATGTTTTCTGGTTAACTTGTGACGGATCAATTTCAAATGTTCAGGGGTGGTTCTTAGTATGAAAATCTTGAACTGACTATATTTTTGGCATTCTGGGTAAATTTTAAGGTGGCCATTTTGGATTTTCCGTCCTCAAATTGTGTTGGTAAAGTCTTGTCTACTCATTTTCAGTAGACTTTAGATATACAATTGACTTAAAAGCTGCATATCATCAAGTAGAAGTTTCATTGATCAAGAGGCTCTTCGGATCCAATTTCTCAAGAGGGAGGTACCAACAAAAAGCTATGGAAAATTATCCAAAAGAGTTAAAAGCATGAAACAAGTTTGAATTAATTAATAATGTTTTGAACACAAAAAACATTCACTGTGTCATTCTTTCTTGAATGCAAACTTGGCACAGTGCTCATTTTACCACCTTTCATAAAAATCATGGTTGCTCAGTCATCCACGACAGCTACATAGGTACCATTGGATGGAGGAGAAACTAGCCCTTTTACTGCTACCTTCGTATTTTTTGAAAATTGCTCAGAATTCTAGTATCCTAGCTTTGAAGTTGGGTATACTTTTTTTGTAGACTTGCTTACTTCAGGTAAATAAAAACAGATCCACTGTGAAAAAAGGAAACAAGTAACTACAGGGCGTTCAATAAGTATTGCTAATTTTGTTATGACTTTTGTTATCTTGCATTTTCCTTCATGAAACTTTTACAACATAAGCAACACATATCTGACCTAATTCTACCCAAATTTCCAGACACCCGACTTAGTATTGACTAAGTTATGGTTTCTATAGTAACCACTGTCACGGATACGCGGGGCAACCTTAAGGGTTTTCATGATGACTTATTGTTATACATCAAATAAACACTTTGATGAATAAAAACTGTTGATATGGTCAAATCTTGATGTTGTCAGTTTGAATTATATGTATTATCTAACAGCGGTGAAAATACATCTGAGAGGAATATCGCACTAGAATCTCAATCAGCGAACGTCTGCAGTGAACACTGCACATCCCTAGCCACACACTTCAACGTCCTCAAAGAGCAATATTGACCTATATGTTCCACCAGGATAAGGCCCCTGCTCACAGATCCTCTATTCTCCTAAATACAATAACAGAGCTTTGGCATGGAAGCATTGCCCCACACAGCATATTTCCCAGATAAGGCCCCACTTGATTTTGTTGTATTCGCCTCAGTGAAAAGGATCTGAGAGGAATATCGCACCAGAATCTCAATCAGCTGGTGTCTACAGTGAACACCCCCTAACCACACACTTTAAGGGTGGCTTCAAAAATGTGTACCACGAATGGTTCGCCAGACAGCAACTGTGCATTGACGCTAAGGGTGTCTCATTTTGAAAATGGTATAAATGATACTGCTTTCAACACTCAAAATGTCGTCCAAAGTGACGTCAGAAATTTGCCCCGCATATCCATGATACTGGTTACCTTAGTAACCATAACTTTGTTAATACTCATTCGATTGTCTTGAAACTTTCAAATAAAGTTAGATATATATACCTTATGTTGTGAAAGTTTCATGAAGGAAAAACAAACCGACCAAAAGTTATAGCAAAATTAGCAATACTTATTGAACGCCCTGTATAATGGCAGTAAATATAAACAAACAGCTTTATCACATTGCATTTTGAAAGAATGTTGTAGGAACTTGGATTTATTGTGTCAGAACAATGCATAAATGATAATGAAATGATAGGTGAAGTTCTAACAAGAGTAGGTGCATGTTCAGTATGTTGACTTATCAGCATGTTGGTGTAACCAATGTTATCTACTAAGAAAATGTTGCCATGTGCATTGTTTTTTCATGCAGTTTTCTCGAAAGTCTGTATGACCTGTTTATCAATCAGTTGCTGTAATCACTGTTTTAAGTGCCCACGACCTAAAAAGCCCCAATCCCTCTTCACAAAGTTCAATTAATATCGAGGAATGACCATTGTATTGAATTTTTAAAGAAATCAAGTGGGCAAAGATAGAGTACTTACAATAAAATGCGGTAAAAGTGACACATTTTGTAATTTGATGCATCCTCCTGATAAATACATGAACAATTAATGCTGTTACCACCATTACATTTATCATTGGGTACTTTTTACATATTCTAAGCTAATATTCTTGCAAAATATTCCATAATGAATGATGGAAATGTTCAAACATAACTTTCGGCATCCAGCGAAGAAAGCTTCTTAACATTTCTCTTTAGTTCTCACGAATTTTACATGAAAAATGAGAATCTATGATTAGATTAAAAAAACATAAGGTATAACTTTTATCCAACAGTCTCTATAGTGGAAATAATGAATATAATCAGGGAAAACAACTCCTCAAATTCAAATTATTGCCAAACATGTAATTCCTGGGGAATTTTTACTTCTTTTGTGTATATGCGCTTATTAGAATGATTTGAAGGCGGTACTTGCCTTGGGGCTAATTACAGAGAACATGTCATGTAGAATTTTTTTTTATTCATTACTTTATTTATTTATATCAGTAAAATATTTTACACAAGAACTCCTCGATCGCCTTTCAGCATTATAGAGGATCAAATAAGCACAAATAATGTAATACAATAGCAAATGTGTGCTGGTCAGGCACATAAGTTTCCTGGGTCTTGGGTGATATCAGGTCTGGAAGCCGGGCCGGTACTCGTTAGGTTTTGAGAGCCAAGTTGTTGGTGTGAAGAAAAGTTGCAACAGTTGTCAAAATAAGTGAATTTTTATCTAAGGAGATGTCAAGACTTCCATGCTTAAATAAGTTCAAGTAATAATTTTGATTTCTATGTTCAATTTGTGCTATTTCATTGATATCTTTAAATAACTTTTCTCTCTCTACAGTTAATAGTAGGCAGTGAAAGAAAACATGTTTCAAGGTTTGGGGAAGTCCACATGTACAATTAGGAGTATCAATAAAATTAAAGTTGTGAGCATATAACTGGGCTTTTAACAGGAGATCAGCTCTAAGTCGATTAATGATAATTTCATGACTTCTTGAGATGTTGAGTTGGCTTGTAGTTATAGTTTGAGGTTGATCCGAAAAAAATAACTTTTGTTTATGTTTGAAGGTTTGAAGAGTTTTACAAAGTTTGATCTTATTTGGAAGGCTAAGCCAGCTAGAAATAGCAGCTGGAACTGCTGATTTACGATAGGTTTCTGAGCATCAGACAGGTAATCTGAATTCACGGTGTTCACGAAGATCACGACCCCTAGGGTTACGGAATTTTTCAAAAATTTCATCAATGTATATTGGAACAGGGCCATTAACTATTTTGAACATTTGATTATTTATTTGAATTTTTCGCCGGGTTTCCAGAGTGGGCCACTGAAGTAAAGAAAGCACCTTTTCGAAACTACTTCCATGGAGACAGCCAGAGCAAGATAGTGCAGCTTGATAGTATAATCTGTCTAGTCTTTGAAGGAGGTACTTTAGGAGCTGTATTGTAAAGGACAGTTCCATATTCAAAATGTGGACGAATGAAAGAATTAAAAATAGTTTCAATGTGTTTAGAAGTCATCATATTTTTGAGTGCCTTTAATGGACCAAGCATTTTACTAATTTTGTCAAAAATATCATTTATATGCTGTCTATGAGTTAGAAAAGGGTCAAAAGTATAACCAAGATGTTTGTGCACATTGACTCTCTCAATTTCCATATTATTTAGAGTAGATGAACTAACATTGTCTAGTTTCATTTTGGATCCATGAAAAATGATTTCACAACTTTTTTCAGGCTTAAACTGTAAGCCCCATGTTTTCGACCAAAGCTCAATATTCTGGAGACTCGAGTTCACAATATTATTAATTTGATGAGGATTCTTAGGATCAAATGAAATGTAGGATTTAGAGTGAACATTTCCCTAAATAGAGTTCACTAGCCCGTCTTGTGCTGGAAACTGTCAAGAAATTCTATAAATAGGAGATTCCCTGTTTATAATTCTAAACAGAGTTTTATTAGTCCCTATTTTGTTCTATTGTTTGACATCAAGAAACCAGGATTTGATGTTTGTCAATTCAGCAGCAGCTTAAAAGAAAGATGTAAAATGGAAGAAACAGTAAACAATTAAAAAGTTTCTTGAAGAAAATCCATGAGTACAGTTGTATCATTTGCAAACAAAATTTGAAAAGAAACAGTTTAAAAGTGAATATTTGGATGAAATTAGCATGCCTAAAGGCAGCATTGGAAGAGTTTGAAATCCCCTTCTTACAGGAAAGGGGAGAAAAAGAAGATTTGATCTGTGCATTGAATATATGTATATAAGAAGGAAAATATATATGTTTACTGAGAAGAACAATGTGTGGTATGCAAAGGGAGAAAGTTGAAAATATATATTCACAAGGAGAGAGATGAAAAGAGGGGAAAAGACATTCACATGCATGTTAAGGATTCTTACAAACTTCATTCTAATAAGGAGATAAGGAAATGGAAGTAAACACTACATTCATGCAATAAAGATGACAACGAATATTGCTATTAATTTAGTTGAAAGAGTTTGGTGGTTTTCAGGTATTTAACTGGTGGTCCACAATTCATTTATAAAAGGCTTAGCTATGTACCTGTACACCTATGTATGGGTGCACAAAGTTTCTTCCAGAAGGTGTTCCTGGGTCATATCTTCCATGATTGCACGCATAAAATTATGACTGGCAGGATATATACCCTTGAGATACTGCTTACTTTATCGGTGGCTATTATGCAATACAAGGATATATTATAATGTAGATTGATTATGGATATTTAACTGCTACAAACAATGATGATATATTCAAGACTTTAAACAGCAAGACACATCGCTCATTGTAATATTAAACAAATACTGGACTAGTATTTTTTCCTCGGATAGGTATTCTGGCATATCCACCTCATGGTCATCCAGTATTTATTTTATTATGCACCTCCCTTGAGAAATACTTTATTTTAAAGAATGGGTCTACTAAAACAGAAGCGGAGCCTAAAAACTCTGGTGTTCGACAATCAAAAATTCCATTTATTCTCTCATTTGGCCTTATTCTTACGTATTCCCTCCATATATAATAAGTTTGGCCGATCCCGTATCTAGCGCCACCTACCTTTTGTCAGTTAATCACAGGAAATTGAATAGAAATCCCCTGTTCTCATATCACGCAAATCTTTTCTCCCTCGCATTCATCTCAAATTCAACATGGAAGAGATTCTAAGAAAATGACGTCATCAACAATTGGACTCGTCGAAAGTATTTTTTCGAGGATAGGTATTCTGGTATACGGGATGGTTGGAGATCTCGTTGCTTCAATACTGGATAGAACGAGATCTTGCTGCCACGTATGGCAATAGACCCCGCAGCTCTTAACCAATCAGATTTGAGTATTTTAATGAGGTGCATAATAATTAATAATACATTCAACAGTTTAGCAGATAACACTGTTAAATATGTTCAACAGGCTGACATTGGGTACTTTCTATCTTCAGACCCAAGTAATAAACACCACTTCACAAACTATGGACAGACTGATGAATTCATACTTGTGGAATCCCCCCTTTCTGGGGAACTCCCCCTCACACAGGATCCTAGAGGAAGAAGTTTCATAGATGTTAAAGAAGAGACTCCTTGTACTATATGTAGCAAACACTTCCCAACGAATCGCTGCGTTGAGTACCACACTATGACTGTACATAATAAGTACTGTAGTGAGTGTAACATGAGGCTAGATAACCTACATGAGGCTGAGCTACAGAGTCATGTTGAGGCACATATTGGCAAAAAGCCTCATCACTGTACATATTGCTTTAAGTTGTTCAATGGGAGAACTAGTGTTGGGATGCACCTGGCCAAAGACTTGAAGTGTCTAATATGTGGACAACAAATAATTAGAAGCAATAGGAGACAACATCTGCACTTGCATAGCAACTGTTAGTAGTTCTATAGCAACTATCAGCAATTTCAAAGTAATTGTTGGTAGTGACATAACAACCATGAGCCATTTCATAGCAACCATTATTAATTCACTTACAACCAAAATGTCAATGGAACAACTTCTGAAACAATCTTGATGTATTTATTAAAGAATCGCCCAATCATTGGGTATTAGGTACAACGATATGATAATATATTTATACAATAACATATTTACACTTGCTTCCCAGCCTCACATAAAAAATTACATAATCACGGCCCTATGTATAGTCTGTCACATGACCTTATGGATGATGGGTGGAATTAAATCATCTTTAGACATTGATGGTACGGGACAAGTTTCACAGAGATACAAAGTCTAAAACCATATGTTAAAAGTATAATTATAATCCTGAAGTGGAAAGACTCGGGAATGGTTCACCCACCCATTATCCAAAAAGTCACATGACAAACTATATATACATAGGGTGATAATTAATACAACATCATTATCAGAATTAAAGAAAATTCAAATTTTAAAGTATGAACATTTACAAAGTGAATGATTCACTTTAAGATAATTTAGTATATAAATGATTAAGAAAACATGTGAAATAATTTGTTCATGTATAATAAACAACTTGTAGTTATGTAGTGAATATCTTTATGTTACTAAAAAGTTGGTTGGTCAGTAAATGTCTCTTGAGTAGTCAGACTTTTGATTATGAAATTGTAACTTTAATGACAACTTTGTAAGAAATAACTGTTACTATATTGACAATAGAGATGTTAATTGAACTTGCACATAAGATCTAAAGTGTGAGACTGTTGCATCAGTCTAATGTCCTCATTGCCATTTCTGGCTGAACAGGTATTGAAGTGGTACAGCAGCACATTCCTTTATTATGCACCTCATTTAGATACTGCAATATGGTTTTAAAGTTGCTTTTAAATTTGGCAATACTCTTCTAGATATTTTTTACACAGGCTTTCCCATGGTTTTAACAACGTTCCCCACTTAAGAGTTTCAATTTTCAATAATTCGAGTACTAGGCCTACTAAAGCTCACATCAGAAACTCAGGTAGGAAATAGAAAAAAGTGTTCTGTAATAGGCTACATCAAACACCAAAAAGTGTGGACATATTGTTATAGTCTCCATTTTTGTGACTGTGGTTGGTGGTTGATGGTTGGCGTCTGTAACAAATTCTTCCAATGTCCAAGTTCTCAGCAGTTTGAAATTTGACCTTCAAGGACCTTTTCATTACAATATTGTGAAAAAAGGTCAAAAAGGTATTTTTTCAACTTGCCTCAAACTGACCAATGTTTTTCAAAATCATTTCAAATCTGAAGTGGCAATAATTCAAGCACAGCGCTATATAGTATGTGAACCACTGTTACTATATGACAATATTCAAAATATGTCCTTGTTTTGATCTGATAAACTGGTGAAAACGGAACCCTTTAATTTCAACAAACATTTATAATGACATCATCATGATTTTTAGGGGTAGATAAAGTGACAGAGTTCAATGCTGGAAACAGTAACCTAACAAAGAAATTCCAGGAACATTATTTTCTGTCTAAGGCCCTCATGTAAAGTCATTCAAAAATGTTAAAAAATTAAAGAATGATTTTTGGCTTGGAGAACCAAATTCATCTGCATATTTCAATATTATCAATGTCGCCAAATATGTTCATATTTTTACGTATTGCAGATTTTAATGTCCTTATAGTATACTTTAGTTTTAATGATGCTAATATTTTTTATTATTTCATATAAAATATTAGCAAACCCCCTACATCGTTTTCATGATTGGTACAAACTTTTGAACAACATGTTTTGCATAATTATGATGCACAGATGTAAAAAAATTATCACATGAAAAAATCAATTGAATAATGTATGCTTATTAAAAATATTGAAAAACAATAAATTTTTAAATCGTGTCTAACAGAATTATGCAATACATGTTGTACAAATCATGAAATCGACTCAATATTTTTTAATAAAAAATTAAAAACAATTCCATCATTAAAACTAAGGTATACAAAGACATTGAAATCTACAGCACGTAAAAATATGAAAATCTTTTGCGACATTGATAACATCGAAATATGCAGATGAATTTGTAAAACAGAAAATTTTGCTTTTTAGCTCATTGAATTTTGGATTTCTGTGTTAACCATTATTTCATAAAAAATGCATCTTATGTACCTAATGGAATAAGTTTTTAAATTAAGATGAATTGACTTTCTTGTATGTAAATATTGATGAAGACAGTTTTTTAGCCTTCACAGAAAACATAATTCATCCAAATCAACATTGTTTCCTGCATATCATACTCTAGCAGCACGTGGTTGTGAATTGAAACTCCTGAATGAGACAGCTACATTTGATGTACAAACTCATTTCTATCTTCAGACAAAAGCAACCAACAATACATTAGAGCAGAGGTTTCCCAAACTGAAGCAGATATTTTCCAAACTGGATCAGATATTGTCGTAACTGGAGCTAGATTGCTGCACCATAAACAGAAGACATTCATAGATGTTGTAGAGAAGCACCAATGTAATGTGTGTGAGGAGTTGTTTCCTAGCAACCGTTGTGTAGAACATCACACAATGTTAGTCCACAACAAATACTGCAGCATTTGTAACAGTAGAGTGGATGAGCTGACTGAGCAGGAGTGTAAAGCTCATGGCAGGGAACATATAGGAGAGAAACCAAACCACTGTGTGCACTGCTACAAGTTATTCACTGGCAAACCTGGTGTTGCTATGCACCTAGCTAGGGACCTGCAGTGTCTCATATGTGGCATGAGGATACTAAGAAATAACAAGAAAGCTCACTTAGAATTGCATTCGCAACATTAACATAAGGACATTGATATTTGTTTTTTGAGGCCAGAAAATGTAAAGATCCCTATTGGTTTTTATACTTTGTATTAGTATTTTGCAAACTCAATATGCCCAAATATGGGCGATGAGGAAATAAACTGATGAAACTTTTTATGAAACTAAACTAACTTAAACTTTTCTCATTTAGTCTCTTTAAGTATGTCTCTCTTAGCAGAACTTGAGGTACTACCTCTAGGTACAAAATGGGTCTATGTGATACCAGTATTGAAATTCGATGCCACTTGCAGCACTATATCAAATCTCATCAAGAATGGATGATCTTGCATAGGTACCTACTACCTATGCTAGAACCAGCTCTTATATCTCAACCAACAACAAGTGAGGGAGTCATTTTCTCAATGGGATTCATTCTCATAAAATCATATGACAGAAATTGACAAGTTAGTTTCATGGTTTTAACTGTGCTTGTAGAGAATGTTTTAGACCTTCAGTAACAATTAGCTGTTATAACAATGGTAACACTTACACACGTAAATGAAAATCAAAGATAGCAGACAAGTTACTAGTATTTGAAAGTGTGAGCAATAGACTGCCTATAATCACCCCATATTTTAGGAAACAGAGCTGTTGAAATTCATATCTAGAGCCAATTACTTGCCAGTAAATCAAAGCTAGTTGAAGCTAGTAAATGTTAAGGTGGCCATTTTGGATTTTCTATTCAAAATCTTCAAAAGTCTTGTCTACATGTTTTCTGGTGAATGGTTGACGGATCAGTTTCAAGTTTTCAGGGGTGATTCATTTGGGCATTCTGTGTAAATGTTAAGATGGACATATTGGATTTTTTGTCCTAAAATATTGGAACAGCATACATGTACATCCTAACCTATTTTGTGTTGAAAAATAACCAAGCAACTAACTCAATTTAGCTCAGAAAAGTAGTTCAGAGAAAATTATTTAGTTTTCATTAAGTTTATATATGCATAAAGGCATAGAATCATAGATTGAACGGGTGAAATAATGTGACTTTTGCCTGAAGTGTTGAATTTGATGATCTAAAAATAAAAGTGTTGATTTCTAAAATGACAGGAAAGGAGTGGTATCGATATGGAGAACACACGTTTCTCTTAAACCAGTAATAAACAAAATCTAAAAAATTAACACATCGTCAATTTAATGGTCATCTTTTGAATGGTAACAATATAATTTGAAAAATATATATATATATATACTTTCATCTATATTGTTTTAGAAAACACATCAAACATTTGTTTTGTTCTTGGTATCATGTTTCCAGAGTGAAATGAACCATCTTTCCGGAACCTCATTGGAACAAAACAACATAAACACAACATGTTTAGGTCTCTCAATATTGTAATTGCACAAAGGAAATTTTGATTGATTTCAAAAAAGTATCTTGTTAATGAAATAAGGGGGTTATCTTGATTTTTATCTATTTTGGGGGGATTTTGTTTTAATTTTTGAATACTTTTTTAAAATCAACCAAAAATTCCTTTGTATAACTATAATATTGAGAGATCTAAAAACATGTTGTACATGTATATGCTATTTTGTTCCAACAACTGAACAAGGTTCGGAAAGACATTTTATTTCATGCTCAAGAACTGGTAGAAAGGAGCAAAAACAATTGCATAAAAAAAACCAAAAAATGTTAAAGGGTGACGCATATCGTTTAAGCAAATCGAATGCTCGTTTCTGGTGTTGCTCACTGTTTAGTATAAAAGGCCCGATCCCGGAATAATACTCAAGGGGTCACAGGTTCGAGTTCGTTGTGTCAACACCTCTAACTGTTATATAGCATAAGTATATTATAGATCGTCACACATTTATAAAAGGGTGATTTTTATTTTGACAAATCAATTCCACATTTATGGGTGAAGTTTCAGGATCTTCTATTTGTGTATAATAAGGAAAAATTGGCATCTAAATTTCCCCATAACGTAATAGCACACAGCTTGGCATATGAAATATCCTACAAATGAAACAAAGCAAGACAAACCGGTTTCTAATACAAGGATTTATATTGGCTGTTGTACATGTATTCTTTGAACGCAATCACTCTTTGGATAACGTTTTCAAAATCATTATAAACGGATTACTTTATCTCAAAGACAATTTCAATAAACTGGATTTTACAGAACTCCCCTTATTTCTTAAAAATGGACTGATCCAGTTGATTCGCCTGGAGCCGCCATATTGTTTTTATACGGGATGCTAATCGGAACCCTTTAACAAAAACAGTTATACAAGGGTCGATCCAGATATTCTGATAAAAATGCTCTCATTTTTTTATTTTTGGGAGTTATAACATCAAACTTGCACAAAATGAGGATGATTTAATTGCTCATAAAATATGTAAGTTTAGTCAACATACGGGCGCTAATGCGTTGCTAGGGTAAAAAATTGGTAACCATGGAAACGGGACCTGGGACAAGTAGCTTTTTTGTCTATTCATATTTTGTCTTTACATACTTTTATATCCATTATGACCCATTTTAGAGTAAAATATTCTTCAATTAGCATTTTAGCAGGTGCACCTACAATCAATTAAGTGTTTAATGACATCACAACAGACAATTGTCCATTGTGAGCAAATAGAAGCTGGCTCCAAATTCAAATCACTTGAGCAAGTTTTATCAAAGTGTGCAAAAGTGAAAATCAAAATGTCAGACTGCATAAGTGCAAAGGAGGCTAAACGCGAAGTACAAACTCAAGTGCGGAGTGCCATCAGGTTTCTTGTAAAAGATGGAAAAAGCAGAGGAGAGACGATCAATGCCATAAAAGGGTTTATAGAGATGATGCAATATCAGTACCAGGGATGACCATATTCCCCTGATTTAGCGCCATTGGATTTTGCGATTTTTGGGAAACTGAAGAGTGACCTCAAAGGCAGGCGTTTTCATGATGTCAATGGGATGAAACAGGCAGTTATGCGTTCCCTGCACACCACTGCAATGATGTATATACTTGCTGGGTTGATAGACATAGACGATGTGTGGCTGCACAAGGACATTATTTTGAGCGCATGCAGACATAAAGGACATAATAGTTGATTTAATCAGTCTGTGAGACTCTTGATTTTGTAGTGAAACTTTTATTCTAGTTTTGTTGTCCCAGGTGCCGTTACCATGGCAACGAATAAGTTCTCCCGTGAGCAGAGTTATGAAGGAATAAAATTTATATTTTTATATCTTTTGCCAAAATAAATTATCTTTTGTCTGCCCAGATTACAAGTAATTACTTCCAAAAATAAAGAAATGAGAGCATTTTTATCAGAATATCTGGATCGACCCTTGTATAAAATATTTCTAGATAATTTTCGCATTAAATTTTTGTCAATCAGTCAACATTACATAAAATACCATGTTTTTTACAGAATGTTTTCAGTGATTGGTTTAAGAGAAAAGCATTGTTGAATTCAGTTCTCCATATTGATACCAATCCTTTAAATATTTTAAATTATAAGATGCACAACAAGTAATATTTGAATGATTAAAGGAGCAACAAGGACTGTAGAGAGAAAATTATTGTCCAGACATTTGATTTCTGATAAAAATGTTCAGATTAGACAGGTCACTTTTTCAATTCTGGTTGTTCACTGTTCAGATTAGGAGGTGTTCAGATTTCAAGGTTTTTTTAACATGGGAGTCAATGGGAGGAAAAATGGGACCGAAAAAAAGTGTTCAAATTGGAAGGTGTTCGGATGAGCCATGTGTTCAGATATACAGTTTCTACTGTATGTCACTAAAAAGGGTTTTATAATTTAGATAATCAATAAGTATTTTCTAATGCAGGAGGATACACGATTAATACGCGACACAATGTCACTTTGGGCCTAAAGTCAACAGATGAAGCCACTAAAGAACTTACAGATGACTACCCTTGCCCACAATGCTCCAATCTGTTCCCAAGCCCACGTTGCCTAGATTACCACAAAATGGTGGTCCACAACAAATTCTGTGATGTCTGTGGCCATAGAATTGATGATGATCTAGATGTCACGCATCATGGACAGCAACATACTGGACTGAAGCCCTATCAGTGTTATATATGCTACAAATTGTTTGCAGGGGTTAGTGGCATAAGTGCACATGTTGCCAAGGACTTAAAATGTCTGCTCTGTGGACGACAGTTCCAGAGAGGTCAAAAGAACCAACATTTTAAGCATTATCATCGCTAAGACTTTGCTACATTATTTGAATGGTACATGTAGTGCAAAACAATGAATGGATAATACACATTCTGGAAAATGAATAGACAGTGAGGTGTGAAAGAAATGTACTGAAATGCACTGAGCTGATAGATCACAAATTAATTTGCAGATATTGTTAGACAGATGTGGGTCAGATGTTTAAAACTAATAAAGTTGAACAAAGAACTGAACGTTTAAAAACAAACACCAGATTCATGTTGAGTTAGTTACATTCCTATAAGCAATATACCCACCAACATATTTTTATGTAATAGGGCTACTTTACAGATTACAACTAAAGGCAACCATTGGCATAATGGGATGACATTCAAGTTGTGATATCTCATACTTATATGGGTTTGGGTAAGATGACACTCGGGAATATATCATATCTGATGGGAGTGGGCAGAATATATTGTCTGTCTCAAAAATGCAGAGTGTCTAGGGGGGGTATTTGAGTCAGTTAACTATTAAAATATAGTTACCTCTCCTTCATTGAACTTTTCAATTGGTCCCTTCCTTCCTTCCAGGGATCACACCAAAACCATGCATTAGTGCAGGCCTTAAAATACATGTACATAACACAGAGTGGGCCAAACATAGTATACATGCATCTCTAAAGCATTATTAATCTCACCTGAATTGCTTCTGTGCACCAAATACTACCTAGATGGATATTCTAGTCTAAATGTTACAGTAACTGCCACTTATGATACACTAGATAAATAAATTCCACTTTCTACTTCTAGACATATTGGCCAACTATGAGTCGCAATCAGGAGTTCCTGTAGCACAGGATTACCCACAATGTAACAGTGCTGGCCTACCTGACCCAATAGAATTGGAGCAAGATTACAATTGCTCGGTGTGTGGGAAGGTATTCCCAAGCCCCCGTTGTGTAGATTATCACCAGCAGATTGTACATAACAGGTTCTGTGATATGTGTAATGGCAGAATTGACAAAGAGGCTGATCCGGAACAACATCCCCTTCAGCATACTGGCCAGAAAGCAGCACAGTGTAATGCCTGTTATAAGCTGTTTAATGCAGAAACTAGCCTGAAATCTCACTTGTGGAAGGACTACAAATGTCTTATTTGCAGTAAAACGTTACGAAGGAATGAAAAGAGCAAACATATGAGAGCTCATATGAAAAACATGTAACCCGACCACCAGTTTTGCCTGATTTCTCTCTAAAGGAAAGCTTCTTTGTTATTCTCAGAATGTACTGTGCATCTGAAATCATAAAAATAGAAAACCAAGAAAATTATTAATTATAGACATTTATAATTCAACAATATAAACCATGCAATTTGTCAATTAATGTATAAACAAAAGGAGTCACTCTGTAGCTAACAAACATTTCTATGTATGATCATAAAACAAGAAATATGTCCTCAATAATCTTGTATACATGTATATCTATAACTTTACTTACTGTTTTTTTCATAGACTGTGTATATGATATGTCTTCTGTGATAAACCATTATTATACTCTATCATACGCTCGATAACTATCAATTATGATATAATATATGACTATTATACTCTATGGTATACTGGATGACTATAAAATATCAATGACTATCATACTCTATGAATGATATACCAGATGACTATCATACTCTATGAATGATATACCAGATGACTATCATACTCATTTAAAATTTGAATGCTTATCTGTGACATGAAAATATGTGTTATCACAATCAATAAAATTGAAACGGATTTGTTGTATAATGTTCTGTTAAACTGATGTTGATTAGTAAATATTCAAATGAGAAAACTCAATAACTACAATTGCAATGTTTGTATCTGCAGACTTGGATTGGACCAACAGATATCCACAAAACACTGGTGATAAATGGATGAAACAAAAAGGTTCCACAATGGGGAAACAATGTGGATCAACACTGGAAACATCTGATATTCAATACTCACTAGAAAATCTCCCTGACCCTGTTGAAGTGGAGGATATATATGCATGTGTGAAATGCAGCATTGAGTACCCTACTCAACGGTGTCTGGATTATCACTCAACGGTTGTGCATAATAAATACTGTGATGTTTGTAATATGAGACTTGATCACCTTGGAGAAGAGCAGCTATTGACACATGGCCAATCACATACTGGAATGAAGTCTCACCAGTGCCAACATTGCTATAAACTCTTTCAGACTAAGAATGGCTTGAGTGTTCATCTGGCTAATGACTTGCAGTGTTTATTATGTGGGGCTCGCTTTATAAAAACTGGAAAATGGGGTCACATGAAGCAGCATAAACAAAAGTGAAATGAGTCCCAGAATTTTTTTTTTTAAATTGTAACAATCAGTAAAATTGTAACAATCAGTTACCTGTACCATTAATGGATAATCATATTGTTTCTCAAACATTGACATTTAAATAGTTAACAAATAAATACCTTATTTAAGAATACATTTTCAGGCTAATAGGGATAAAAACATGAGATGCATTTTTAGCTAATTGTATTTTTAAGATGAACTTCACTGTCGATTGACTTTTTTTCTTCAATTTAGATTTTCTATGTGAAAGATATCATAGCATTATTGCATGGTGGAGGGGGTGATATATTGAAATATCACCTCGAGGGATAAAATATATATATTTTTCTGAGTGGTGATTAATTTAATATATCACACTCTACATCATGTTATAATGCATTTATCATACAAAAACATGTTATACATTTTTTAATTCTGAACAGCATGGGACTTTTTCTATTATATTCAACAAAACTATACAGCAAACTCCACATTTATTTTTTCAAAAAGCCTATTCCAGGCTCTCATTATCATGCCCAAATTAAGCTTTTCGTGGTTCGCTCTTGAATTGAGAAGGTACGGAATTATCAACTTAAAAAACCCTCAAAAAGGACAAAATTTGATTGGTCAATACTTTCCAATGATACATTTCGCGTAGCTATTTGGGTGACCCGAAAGTTCTAAATCAAACCAATTATGCAATTTTGTTTTTTCACCCGCAGGCTAAATAAAACAATAACACCATCAGATTGCGCCACACGGCATTTGATCAATCAAATGAAATTTTTCATATAAACAAGTATCAATGTTTTATTTAGTTTTAGTTTTTGGCATTAGAGATGCGCGAACTAACTGCGCAATGGACAGTGAAGTTCTACCTTCAGAGTAAATGGCATGCACAGTATAAAATATGGAAATACAGTACATCATCCATATGTTTCAGTTTTGCAGCAAAGTACATCTTCAGCAATATGAAACACCATGTACAGCATAAAATATAAAAATACAGTATTAAATATAAGCTATTCAGACATACATCCTAAACGTTCATTTTATAGCATACTAGAGACATTCCCCAACTAATATACAGCATATAATAACATTTATCCTATGCCCAGTAGAGTTTTAGGGAGATAAGTTGGTAGGATATGTCGCATATTCTGATTTTGAGGTTTCCATATCCAGAACCTCCATATCTCCCACCATATCTCCCGCTCCTGGGCATATCTTCCCGCTTTGAAAAAAAATTGAAAAAGAATTTTGAATAAAAGTTGAAAAAAATTTGAAAATTTTCGAAACTATAGCAATATCCTATGGTTTTGAAAAAATATCATTTATATCCAAGAGTGGATATTGATATCTTCAAGATTGAGCGCAGCGAATGAGTGAAGATATTTGTATCCATGAGTGGATGTAATTGATATTTTTGAAAAACCATAGGATTGTCTGTTTATCCCATGAGAAATCATCATCAGCGAAAAAAAGTTGAAAAATATAATTTGAGAAAAAATTTGAAAAATAACTGAAACAATTGTGAAAAAATGTTGAAAAATTTTTAAAAATATTTTTGAAAATAATTTTTTTTGAAAAAATTCGAAATCATCGAATATCACTTTTCAAACCATCGAATATCACTTTTTAAGACATGATATACGAAAGTTTAAAAGTGATATTTGATGGTTTGTGAATTTTTTGCTAAAATATGATATCTAGATCCACATATTAAATATATCTTCATGTGATATTCGATCTATATCCATGCAACCATGGGATAAAGAATTTTATCCCTCGTGAGATATGCACATCTACCTTCGGTCTCACAGGTAGATATGCGATCTCCCTCTGGTAAACCCCATATCCAAAACCTCCCAGTACATACATGCATAACCCTCATTTTTTAATATAGAGCATTAAAATTCATCTTACAAGATCAACAAAATGCATATACAAACAAAAGTATATACAACATAAAATATAATTCATATAGTTTGATACATCTGCTTTATAATAAGCATTGTTCATTATAAAGACTCAGATTTACAACATAAGAAATAATCTACCTTTTCTCTTTAAAAAACACAATGCGCTCCCGACTTACCTTGATGCAATATTATGCACCCGCTTCTTTGGATTCACACCATCTTTTATTCACTAAATAAAATACTTTTCCTAAAATTTCTCAATTAATTTCAGAGATGGAATTCAATGCTGCCCAGTATGGGAAGCCTGTCAATCAAAGCCAACAAAGTGTTTACATAGAGACCAGTGCACCAACAGGAGAGCTCCCAGAGCCAGAGGAGGAACAAAGTGACAACACATGTCCCCAGTGTGGCCCATTTCCTACTAAGCAATGCTTGGATTACCATCTTGCCGTAGTACACAACAAATTCTGTGATATCTGCAATAATCGACTTGACCACCTAGAGCACAGTGAGCTCCTAGAACATGGGAGACAACATAAGGGTGTGAAGCCACACCAGTGTACGAAATGCTATAAAGTTTTCCAATCTAAGACTGGATTGAAGATACACCTCTCTAAAAATTTTGTATGTAAAATATGTGGCAAGAGATTGCAGCAAGGTGCCAGGCAGCATCATATGAACACATACCACTATACACAATGAACACTTAACTCTGTACTTGCACATACACAGATTAGTCAAGCTAAACAGTTTAATGATCAAATCATACAAAGCAACATTTATTATTGAACAGAAATAATATTATTTAGACATTTCAAACATCAGACTCAAATTATTGGACAATGAACATTCACAAAGTAATATTGATGACATTATTATAAATTACACAAATATAAGTTTTCTGGTACTAAACACTATTACTGTGTATTTGTAACACTACTTGGAATAAATTACTTTGATAATTTTTCATTCACAATTTGCTTACTTCTTCAGTAACACTTATTTCCCACCCAACTCTAAATTTTTCTTAGTCTTATACGTCAGTGGTCAACTCCCATTTATTTTATGTTTATGTGTTGTGATATTACATACTTGGATCCTAATTACAATAGATTCCTACCTTATTCAAGTTTCACGGTCTATATCTTTCATTTTTGCACAAAAGGTGCTATAGTGATAAATTTTCTTTAGAATATATAGATCATACCTGCCAACCTACCATAATTTTACGGGAATCTACCGTAAAATTTTTGTTTTTCCGTAAAAAAAGACAAATTACCATATTTTCTCATAAAAACGACCGTAAAAAATCTACAGTAATTTTAGCGAAATCTACCGTAAGATATTTTATTATAATTCGATTTTTTCTATAAGAACAGCTGTAAAATAAACCGTAAATATTTGAAAATCTACCATATTTCTGCTGAAATTAACAGTATTCTTGTTCAAACTACCGTAAAATCTACCATTATTATTTGGAAATTCTGTAAAATTGAAGTCTTCCCAGATCCTGTATTGCCTTTGTAATATTCCATTACCAACCCAAAAATAAATATGTGTCGGCATGTCTGTGACAGTGGTTATTGCGTACTTAGTAAGTAACTAAGTAAGCTGGTGTGTAATCAGTCAACACACTGGAGAGTATCATGATGCAAAAACACAGTGTTCAACTACCACAGGTTCTACTGTAGTTATAAAAAAACTGATGTGTTCAAATTGTTAGTCCGTTTATGAAAGATCATGAATAGTGTGTAAGAAAAACATACTTTATTATTTATTCATTGAAGTGTGTCAAAATCTATGCAAAATCAGTTTTTTAAATCTACTGTAAAAACTACCGCATTTTATTTAAATCTACCATAAAACTACCGCATTTTTCAAAATTGAAAAAAATTCTCATCATGCAGATCAGCCTTTTAGTCAAAAATTAGAGACAATACTGTCAGATGTTTTAGAAAAGTACACGTACATGGAAAATATTGTAAAATGGTTTCAATTTTTCAATTCCTCTATTCCCTTTATTTCCTTTGTTAAATATTCATTGAAGCAGAATTCATATTAATGCAATGGGTGATCCTTTTAAACCACATTTGACTTTCAATGGGCATTTCAACATAAACTAATGTTTCTTCCTGAAGTATGATTAAGTGATTTGATAAGCATGAATTTATTTCTCCACCAAAGACGTTTTAAATTATAAATAGTATGCTTTACGTACTGCATCATGAAGTGTTCACCTGTAAAGCTGCTATTTCCCATCAATATATATAAAACATAGATTATTTAACCTTGCAAGTGCATTGTTAACTCAAAAATTATTAACGATCAACTTTTATGTTTGTTTAATAAAAATTACATGGGCGTATCCAGCAAATGTCAGGGGGCGGGAATTTTTGGTTTGCATCACTTGGAGTGTAGCGAGCCTGGGGGTTTCATCCCCGTGAATTTAAAAATATTTATATTGTATATGGTGCATTCTAAGCAATTCAAACTATGTTTGTTATGTTTTTTCAACAAATTTTACAATATTACTTTTTACTTTTCCCCATCAAATGGATAAAACCATGGAGCAACTCCACAAGAAGTTTCAGATGACTAGCTCAACTGGATGCAGCCATATGTACAGGGTGGTCCAAAAAATGGGACACTCGTATTTCGAAAATAGATGTTGATTTTCTTGATGAAAACATGTCATACTATATATCAGTGTATAGGGAATTTACTCATCTTTAATTTGGTATATCATAAGATCAAATTTATTATAATGTCTGTCAACCAGCGTCCATAATATAAATGATGTCATTTTCGTTTCAAAACGGGTTTTCCAAAACTAGCAAAAACCAAGTTTTATTATCAACTTTATTTACATAAAGAGATTTTCAATATGTCCACCATTTTGATCAATTGTTGCCCTCAATTTTAGCCTTGATTGATATGCTATTGAGACAATAAATTTCACTTCTCAATAATCCTGTCCTTAAGGGGCTGAATAGATCTTAAGGATTTATGGTAAACCGATTCTGTCAGTCCTCCCCATACGTGGTCAGGTGATCCCGTAATCGGGTGATCTGGGCGAGGCAGTGATTAAGGGGGGGGGGGGTGAATCTAGGCACATTTTCGTTTAAACATTTGACACTCTTGACACTCTCTATTGCTTGGAGCCCCATCTTGTTAGAAAATGTAATGATTCGAAAATGAGCTCATATCAGGATGGTCTAAAACAACATAATTGGATCATCCGAAGTCAACATCTGCGACTACCGCATATTTGGAGAACTAACAGAATTACTCAGATGCGAGTAGGAAGTTATCAGTTTCGCCACCAGGTGGCTGATTCAGGGGAATTAACATGGCAGGGTATTACAATATTCCCTTAAACTTGAATATGCATCAGTTCGAGTGGTTCACTTTTCATATTACCCTTATGCATCTGAGACTTATACAAATTAAAACATGTCCAGTAAAAGAAAATATTATCTGCCCAACACAAGAAAAGATATTTCACTTTTTGTGGTTTTACAACATGGGGTCTAAGGGAATCTCCCCGACCTAGAAGTCACATTTTCAAAGAAAATTAAATTTTCAAAGTTGATAAACTCTTTTCAAAACCACATTTCTAAATGTAATTTTACATGTAGATTCCAAATATGACATCAGTTTGACTGAATTGTGAATTTTTAATGACGTAAATCAAGATTATTTCTACATGCATCTGGGATATTGGTTTATCATGAACCCCTTACATCTACTTAGTCGGACAGTCCCTTAAGGACAGAATTATTAAGAAGTCGAATTTACTGTCTCAACAGCATGTCAATGATGCATTTGACCAGTTTAGGTCAAAATTGAGGGCTATTTAACTGATCAAAATGGTGGACATATTGAGAGTCTGTTTATGTAAATCAAGTTGACAAAAAACATGGTTTTTGCAAGTTTCGGAAAACCTGTTTCGAAATGAAAATGATGTCATCTATATTATCGATGTTGGTTGACAGACATTATAATACATTTGAACTCATGGAATACCAAATGAAAGATAAGTAAATTCCCTATCCACTCAATGTTTGTCATGTTTTCCTCAAGAAAATCAATATTTATTTTTGAAATATGAGTGTCCCATTTTTTTGGACCACCCTGTATATATGGATGTATGTGACATGTGTGAGTGGCACTTATTTGTGTCACACTGTACACCACATCCTGCAAATATGTACGCCAGTCATCCGACTTTGGTTTTAAGTGTGTTTTCCATGTACTTGCAGGATACTCTGAGCAGCATATCACTGAACACTCCCACATCCCAAAGATATCTACAGTCAACCAAATCCATGGTGATGTTTGTGTTGAAGTTGATGAGGAGACATTTCACTGTCCAACTTGTAGCATGGCATTCCCCTCTCAGAGATGCATAGATTACCATGTGATTGTAGTGCATAATGGCTATTGTGATGTCTGCCAGGGACGCCTTGATAATGAGGATGAGGCAGAGCGGCTGAACCATGGGAAGAAGCACACAGGAGAGAAGCCACAACAGTGTGAATACTGCCTCAAATTGTTCTCTGGGAAGTCAACATATAAATTGCATCTCAGTAGAGACCTCAAGTGTCTCTTGTGTGGCAAGATATTCCCTAGGCAGAATAAAACTCTACATATGAAGTACCATCTCAAGTGAGACTGCATATGCATCTAAAGTGAGATTAGATATGAAATACTATGTCTAAAGTGAGACTTCATATGCATCTAAAGTGAGATTAGATATGAAATACTATGTCTAAAGTGAGACTACATATGCATCTAAAGTGAGATTAGATATGAAATACTATGTCTAAAGTGAGACTGCATATGCATCTAAAGTGAGATTAGATATGAAATACTATGTCTAAAGTGAGACTGCATATGCATCTAAAGTGAGATTAGATATGAAATACTATGTCTAAAGTGAGACTACATATGCATCTAAAGTGAGATTAGATATGAAATACTATGTCTAAAGTGAGACTGCATATGCATCTAAAGTGAGATTAGATATGAAATACTATGTCTAAAGTGAGACTGCATATGCATCTAAAGTGAGATTAGATATGAAATACTATGTCTAAAGTGAGACTACATATGCATCTAAAGTGAGATTAGATATGAAACACTATGTCTAAAGTGAGACTGCATATGCATCTAAAGTGAGATTAGATATGAAATACTATGTCTAAAGTGAGACTACATATGCATCTAAAGTTAAACTGCATATTGTACATGTATACTGTTTCAAGAGAGGCTACATATGCATCTAAAATGAGATTTGAAATACCATCTCATGTGATACAATATGTATGAAATGTCACGTCAAGTGAGACTACATATGAAATACCATTTTAAGTAAGACTACATATGAAATACAATCTTAAGCAAGGCTGCATATGAAATACCATAAGAAGTGGGGCTCCATGTTTTTTAGTGCAATTGTTTTTGCTCCTTTCTACCAATTCTTTAGAATGAAATGAAATGTCTTTCCAAACCTTGTTGGAACAAAATAGCATACACTTCCCTCAATAAGTTTGGCAACCTTAGCTCCCCCATTGAACTACGTGTTAAAGCCCCTTTAACTTTGAATTTTTATTTACTTAATCTACGATGAAAATACTAATACTACTAATGAAAACGTAATTTGACGTTATTTCCAAAACCTCCAAATTTTTTTAATTTTCAGTTCAATTACAATAAGACGAAAAATTGATGATAAATTTGATGAATTTTTGAAAATCGACATTCCAATGTTAACCAATGGGAAATGGTAGGTGTGCCGCAAGTCATATGACAGAATATCCATCCATCTGAGTGCTTGCAAAAAATACGAGTTAGGTAGGCAATTGAATTTGCTAACTTTATTGAACAAAAAATTGATACCTTTCTTCAGGTTAAACAAAGTTATAGGGCTTTAAAGTCAAAATTGTTTTTCAAAGAACCTCTCCCATTGAATTAACACAGGAGGCGAAAAATTATTTTCAAAAATGACTTTGAAGCACTGTAACTTTATTATTCATCAAATAAACTAAACACTTAGTGTACAAAAAAGTTAGACAATTCAATTTTCTACATAGAAATACATGAATCTTTTACTGAAAAGATATCCTGATTTCTGATTTGCCCCGAACCCTCCATTTCCCATCTGATTACATGGGAATGACGATTTTCAAAAGTTCATCAAATTTATCATCAATTTTCGACCTATTCGTAATTGAGGAAAAAAATTGAGAAAATTTGGAGGTATTGGAAATAAAGTCAAGCTACGTTTCCATCAATATTATAGGTTATTTCATCACCGTTTAAGTAAATTAAAATTCAAACGTAAACAGGCTTTAACACGTAGTTCAATTAAGGTTGCCAAACTTATGGAGAGGAGTTGACTTTAAAAAAGTATTCAAAAAATTAAAACAAAGTCTCCCCAAAATAGATAAAAATCAAGATAAACCTTTTATTTCATTTACAAGATACTTTTTTAAGATCAACCAAAATTTCCTTTGTACAATTACAATATTGGGAGACCTAAACATGTTGTGTTTATGTCGTTTTGTTCCAATGAGGTTCGGAAAGATGTTCCATTTCACTCTGGAAACATGATACCGAGAACAAAACAAGTGTTTGATGTGTTTTCTAAAACAATATAGATGAAAGTATATATATATTTTTCAAATTATATTGTTACCATTCAAAAGATAACCATTAAATTGATGATGTGTTAAATTTTTAGATTTTTTTTATGACTGTTTTAAGAATTTTCATAGATTTCAACTATAAGTCGTTATCTCGCCAGTTCTTTCCTAATTTTTGTCCATACTTTCCGAATGGACGTCCATTACAACCCTTCATCGCTGCGTGTTAATTTTTGGGTATTTAATGCAGCAGTTTCGAAATCATCCGCACATATATGTTCAAAAGTGATCAATTCGTCGTGTCCCGTCGTATTCCACTTACCCTGTACGCAGTTTATCGCATCCTACGACCCCTTTAGATAAACCCATACAATTTGCGATTCAACTATATGAAAAGAATTCTAAAATACTCAGGAATGTATCGAGGTAGGTCATTTATGTGTGCAATGCATAGTTCATTCTCCGACATTGTAGAAAGACAGGCTTACTAATGAATCGGGCCTACGACCACAATCTAAAGGGGTCGTAGGATGCGATAAGTACGCAGTCTCGTTAGACGAAGACAAAGCTCTCTTTAAAGAAGCGAAGTCGAACGAATGCAAAGGGTAGGATACGCCCCATCGAGTTTATAACTACAAATGTGAAGTTTCATTCTAAACGCCAATCGACTTATGTAATTATCTAGTCTATACTGGGATATGTCATGCATTTGCAACATCCACGAGGGGAAAAGTCTACCCGCCTATACAGTGCGTATCAAAAAACGCAACAATTGTTAACTCGAAAAAGCAAAAAAACAGTGATAACAGCATTGATTTCATTCGATGTACCATAAAGCCATGTGTCTCCTCTTTCCAATGGTATATCATTCGTTGATATCGGGTCATGGTTGGGCGAGTAATCATTCCTTTTGCAAAGTTAGCTAAAATTACATGTAGCTTTGGACCAAGTTATGAACACTGCGAAAGTCAGTGCACGGGGCCAGGTGTTATTGGAAGAATACAGAAAAACCAGAGATTACTGCATCCTTTTCATTCAATGAACCACAAAGCCACATTTCTTCTCTTTGCAATGTTATGTCATTCATTCTCAGGGATTCATGTTTGGCCAAATAATCATTGATCCCGCAAAGTGGGGTAAAACAAGCTTAGAACCAAGTTTAAAACATTACAAAAGTCAATGCAAGGGGCATAAGGGCTATTGGAAAAATGCGTGACAGGTGTGGCATAGACAGAAAAGTGTTCATACTCATACTCTTACAAATATAACCCTCCGAAATGCAACCACTTCTTAGCATGCAAAGATGCGCACATCTCTCAATGTCATTCAGCTCTGAGTCATCTGTGAGATAAGGCGGAGCAAAGCAGCCCTGCATTAGCAATTCTTTTTAAAAAATTTGCAATATCTGGGTGAGGAATGGTTAACACTCTGGTCCTGAGATAGCTCCAAAAGAAAAATTCACAGAAACTTGGCCCACAGCCGACTTTGGCCAATTCTGAAAAAGGAATGATTTTTCGCCCAACCATGGCCACATGTGAATGAATGACATACCATTTCAAAGAGGAGGGATGTGGCTTTAGGGTACTTTGAATGAAATTGATGTAGTCATCACTGGTTTTGTGGTTTTACGAGATAACTGTTTGTTGCGTTTTTTATACGCCCTGTATACAACCTACCGCCGTATGGTTGGCCTATTCGTATAAAGATGTTTCTCAGCGCGTGTAAAATAACAGTCTTAACGCCCGTAATTAATAATTTTAACGCCGTAAGTTCACGCCTGTAAATGTATTCTGAACGCCCGTAGAATTTACTTCTTCACGGGCGTAATTTACGCCTACACAGGCCTAATTTTTCGTCAGCACGGGCGTAATTAACGCCTACACACCCGTAAACAACGCATGCATTCTTTATACTAATAGGCTAACCATACTGCCGAGTAAAACACGCTTAAACCGCCAATCCAATGTTTGGTAAACCTACATCTCATAGGAAAATCGGCAATCAAGGTAACATTAGGCCACTATCAATTCCCTTGGATGGTTGAAATCGTTAAGCTACGTTCACACCAACGGCGCTTTGATGGCGCTTTAAAGTTGCTTGTAAAGCGGCACCAAAGCGTAACAAAGCTTGATTATAGCGTCGGGGTCGTAATAGGTCGTAGAAAAGCTCGGAGTAAAGCGGGATATTCGGCAAGAGCGCCAACATTTTTAAAGCTACTTTCACACCAACGGCGAATGCCACGCTTTAAATCGGCGAGCAGAACGCTGTCATTTATGTTTACTTTTCCAAAAATATCACGATCTCCTAAGTAATGTAACGCTCTGATAAGCTCTGATACGCTCTGATTTCCCGACTTGTCACGGTTCCTCACGCTATGATCCCGCTTCGACCAGGCTTTGTTACGCTTAAAATCACGCTTTGATAAGCTTTGGTAAGCATTATTACGCTTTGATGCGATTATGACGCTTTAATCAGGCTCTGATACGATTACCAAGCTCTGTTATGCATTTTCGAGATCGCCTTTATCATCACGCTTTTGATCAAATGGCTGTATAAAGATGCAGTAGATTCATAAAACCATTGCATCTGTGACTCGAAAAGACGATGGCAGAACAACAAGATCCAGAATTTCCAGATGGACCTGATCATGGACATGATGTTTGTCGCACGGCGTGAAAGAGCGTGAGGAAGCTTGTCAAGCGTAACAAAGCTTAACAAAGATTTTCAATCCTTGATTAAAGCGTCTCAATTCGTTAAAAAGCTTGAGAGTCCTTCAAGAAAGCGTAACAAAGAGTGTCAGATATTGATGAAAGCGTCTGACCTCGTGTAAGATCTTCATGCCAGATCGTAGCAAAGCTTGAGACATCTAAACGAAGCGTGTCAAGTGGTAACAGACCGTCGTGAAGAGACCCTGAACAAAGCTCTGTTAAGCTTTCCTACGCTTTGGGTCAAGCTTTGCTGAGCTTTGTTACGGTTTGTTAAGCTTTGATACGCTCTCGGCGCTTTAATCAATTCGTAACGGAGCGCCCAAAATTTTTAAACAGTTTAAAAGATTTTGGCGCTCTTGCCGAACATCCCGCTTTACTTCGGGCCTTTCTACGACCTTTTACGACCCCGACGCTTTAATCAAACTTTGTTACGCTTTGGTGCCGCTTTACAAGTCCCTTTAAAGCGCCATGCTTTGGGGCCGCTTTGCTCGCCGATTTAAAGCGTGGCATTCGCCGTTGGTGTGAACGTAGCTTTACTAAGATGTTCTAGCAGGCGGAATTGGCCCAGAATTTTAGTTGAAATATACTTTTTATGTCCAAATTAAGAGATGAGTAAAACGATGGTTTTCGATTAGTTTTTCTCATTCGAGGAAGAAAAGAGCCTTAAACATGCCTAACCATCGACAACGTACAGCGACAAAATATACCGTCGTATTCTAACTGATATGAAGCAAAAACAATGATGTGGGTGTGGTGTAGGTTTTAAAAATTAATCTAAGGAAT